TCTTTCCCTTCTTGGGTACATCCTGACAAGCGTGCATGTGCAGTTTGGGGCACCTCAGACTGGTTTGATGTGCTGCAAACTGCACGTGGCGCATGTGCACCTGTTCACCATGCTGCTAATTTGCAGTGCAGCAGTTTTGTGGGTTTTTTTGTTGACCTGGGAGGATCCCAGTGTAAAAAAAAACCCCAAAAAAATGCTGCTGAAAATAGCAGTGTGGTGCACATTGCAGCAGCGTGCATCCCCAGAAAGGGAGCCTGGCTGGCCAGTGGCTGGCTTGGCACGGCTGCTGCCCTAGGAGGCCCTCAGGACCTTCTCTACCTGTATCATTTTGCTGTGTGCTGGAGCGTGCATGTAGGGGCATGCCTGGGAACAAATAGCAATGGCATAAATATGTGCTGCTGGTATTTGTCTTATGGGAAATGTGCATGTTCGTTGGTACATGCCTCTTAAGTGCAACTTGTTATCTGGGAATGCAAGCTCCTCAGGAATCTGTCTACTTCTGTACAATGGTTATCAGACCATGGTCCCAATGCTACTCTTTTATATCGGTAAATAAGTAAGAAGTGTGTGTGTGTGTTTCATGAATACATACATGTCCATTTCTCAATTGTTTCCCTTCTCGTTTTCCATTTAAACAGGACTTACTGGACCATTCCTGTACATCTGGCAGTGGCTCTGGTCTTCCTTTCCTGGTGCAAAGAACAGTGGCTCGTCAGATTACACTTGTAGAATGTGTAGGTCAGTAAAGCTCTTGTTTGTATTTCTCACGAAGCCTTGTAGCTATATGCTATGCTGAGTGAGCTACGGCTTCTATTCTAAACATCCCTCTTCTTTCTCAGTTGCTCTTAATCTTCTGAGTAAAATTTTCCAGCTTCAACCCTCTGGGGAATTTTTTTTTCCCAAGGAAGGTTGATGAAAGATTTACTTCAAACCAATGTTTGAGAGATGATGGATATACTCATTACGACAGAATTTGGGAGAAACTTTATCTTAGATCAATCAGCTGAAGCTAGGAAGTTCAAACTTGGCTAATTCTGCTGATCACCTTGGAAGTCAAGCAAATTAGATGTGAAGAAAATCAAGTTAAACTCATTTTTGTCAAGTTTGTAGAATTTGAAATTGTCAATGTGTGAAGCAGAAATTTCTTGTGCAGGTGTTCAACTTAGTAAGTAGAGTTATTTGGCTGTTAGATGGGCTAATTTAAGTTAGTAAATGTTGGTGATGTTAAGCCCAGTAGCTCAATTTTTAATTTGCATTTTTAATAGAGGTCATGACTGTCTGGCATCAGAAAGTCAAAAACTCAGAAATTACATATGTTTGGAGCTGTTTCAAAAGGTGGGGTGGGAATGCAGGGGCACTCTTGCTCCAAGCTGGAGAGCAGCTGCTATATTCTAATAGTTGTATTGTGGACAAGCTGGGAATGATACAAATATGGCAAAACAGCTCCTGCTTTAATGCTGCTTCATCCAGTTTAAAGTTCATTTTAACACTCAGTTTTTTAGAAGGGTGCCTCACAATAGCCACCCCTTCATTTGATGTGAGAGAAAACGTTTTAATTAGAGATGCACCAATACGTCAGTCCAATATTGGATTGGCACCAGTATAAAGAACATTTATTATATTGGAAATTGGCCTGGTGTGGCTGATAATTTGGTCGATAAATGCCTGTGCATGTGCGTAGCTGCAGTGCAGCACATAGGCAGCAAGGAGCACCGCCTGGCAGCTTGGATTGCTGCATGAAGCTGGTAAGTCTGGTGTGGTAGAAGGGGAGAGGGGAGGGACAGGGTGTGGGGAGGGGCAGATCATGGCCTCTTGTGGTAAGGGAGGGAGTGGGGCAGGGGCTGGAGCAGGCACTTCCCAGCTAGGGCGCAGGACAGAACTGCGGCTGGTCCAGGGGTGCGGAGTGGCTCCTGCTGCTGCGCGTATCCCAGGAGGGTATGGGAGGGGGCATGTGCCCCCAAATCTGTGCAGGGGGGCAGGGTGAGCTGCAGATGCAGACTGGGGCTGGGGCTGCGCTGGGTTCTTCTTGGTGCATGGGGGCTGAGCTTAGGGCTGTGCTCGAGACTGTTTGGCATGGGCGGCAGTGGTGCTGCGAGGGGACTATGGGGGGGCTAGGGCAAAATTTGGGGTGGCTGCAGCCCCCCACCGTAATCCCCTCCCAGCGCTGCTGCAGCCCACCCTGAGCACAGCCCTGGCCCAACCCCTGCTATGCTTCAGGAAGAGCCCGGTGTGGCCCCAGCCCACCTGCACAGTTCTGAGGGCATTCCCCCCCAACACCGCCCAGACGAGCAGTGACTCAGTCTCATGCCTTGCCCCACCCCAGCTGGGCAGCACCTGCCCCAGCTCCAGCTCCACTCATGCCCTCACTGTGGAGCCCTTGATCTGCTCCCCCCACATCCTTTCCTTCCCCCTCCCCGTCCACTGCAACAGATTTACAGCTGCACACAGCTGGTATCAGAAATCAGATCAGTATCAGTCAATACACCTTAAAAATAGGCTATCAGCCCCCAAAATCTCTATCAGTGCACCCTTAATTTTAATTCTACAAATTTGCAATTTCTTGCACACCAAGAAAGTTAAGCAGTAACTATAGAAGAATTCTAAATTTTTCAACTTTTATAGCTTAACTTGTCTGTGTCATGTTGCAATTTGCTCCCTGGAACAGGGAGTTAGGAGTTCCTGGTTTGCAATTCAATTGTTGTTCTTTCATTTAATACATTTTATTTGAAGAGTTGATGCCCCATATTGAGGCTTTTGCAGAGAAGAGTAACACTGATATAATGTTTTCCTAACTCTTCAGCTAATTTGTTAAATTTAACACTGCATAAATGCTTGGTTTGGTTTTAGCTTAGTTTCTCTTTGTAGAACATTATGATTCAGATTTTGTATGCTAAACATTGAAATAGCCTTAACTTTAAAAAATGCATTTTGGCCTTCAGCTTAATCTTTGCATGTGAAACTGAGCCACGATGAGCCAGATCCAAAAAAAAGACCTGTGCCACTGAAGTGAACCTTGGGTAGAAATGTAGGCACTGAAGTCCAAAACTGTGATCCTGAAACTGTCTGAACAAAACTTGCCTAGCCTTAGACGTGGCTAAACTCTGCGTACCAGTGGGAGGTGCCTGCTTTGTGACTAAGTGTCTAGAGTTGCTCATCTACCCTCAGTCTGAATGGCATAATACCTAGTGCATGCATAAGATCAGCTAGCAACTAGAAGATGGGCATCCCCTTCCTCATGGGTGGTGGATTAGGTGTGCCACTGGGATGTGAAAGATCTGGGTTTGAATCTCCACCAGCTAAGGAGCCAGTTGAATATGCGTCTCCTCTATCTTTGGGAATGCTCTTAAACACTGAGCTGTTACATACAAGGATTGGAGGGCAAGTATTTAAAAAGTTTTGGTGTTAAACTTTCAGGCACCTAAGTCATTTATTAGACCTCTTAACTCTACTTGATTGTTTGAATTAATTTTAATGAAAAAGTTCTTTTTTTTTTTCTCTTCCCCTCAACACAGACTTTTAGTTCTATCTTGCCAGCAGACAGTATTTTACAATCAACAAGTACACAGGTCTCTGAAGTGATCCTAGCCCAGTGGTAGACAAAATCTGGCCCACAGAGATTTTATCCAGCCCATGGTGGGTCCCTCAGTTGTGGCTGGCCCAGGTGCCATCTGACCCGTGGCACATCCTGCTGCTCCCAGGCGTGCAGCAGGGCTGGGGCAGCTCCATAGCTGGACTCCAGCTCCTGGCAGCCCTGGAGGCCGCTGGCCCTGGCTTCAGCCCCACGGAGACCAGCCAGGACAAGCGTGGGTAGGGCCCAAACCGTAGGCCAAGCGTGCAGCCCTGGCCCACCCCACACACGGGGGGTTGGGGTCCTTGCAGCGCTCGCTCTGGACCCTCCTGCCCTGGCCACAATGTCTGGGCAGAAGCTGCTGCTGGGCGTAGGAAAAGAAGCGGGACCTGGTGGCAGGTGTGGCTGCCTCCTCTTTGCCATTGCCAGACCCTAATTGCTGGCACTGCCTTGAGCCCATGCTGGGGCTGCCCTGCAGCTCCTTCCTGGCACTGCTGCCACCAGTGCTGCCTCTTGGCTGGGCAGGGCTCCTGCACTCAGTGGGGCAAGGTGGGGAGGAGTCACAGGGCAGCCCTGGCATGGGCTCTGGGTGGTGGCAGCAAGGGCCCAGGAGCAGCAAGGGGGAACAGCTCCACCCACCATTAGGTCCCACTTTTTTCCTGCATTCAGCATTAGCTTCTGCCTGGCTGCCCTTGTTCATTGTAGCCAGGGCGGGTGGGTCTGGAGCGTGTGCTGCAGGGACCCTGTCCCCCCTGAGTGGGGCAGTCACAGCAAGAAGACCCCTGCAGCAATGAGGGGGAGGTGGCTGTGTCCACTGCCAGGTCCCACTTTTTCCTGGTACCCAGCAGTATCTTCTGCCCAGCTGCTGCCATCTGTACTTGGGGCACCATCACCGAATCTGGGCAGCAGCTCCAGGCCCTTCTTGGGGTAGAAGGGTGGCATGGAGGCGGCACTGGTAGTGGCTGTGATGAGGCTGTCTCATGCCCACACCAGCTCCCCACCTGTCCACAACCCCATCCCACATAAGGAGGTTTGGTAAGTTGTTTGGGGGGGCGGGGGCTGCCGACCCATCCCACAGCAGCTTCCCAAAACTCCCTATATGACCCACAATCCCAAATAATTGCCCCACCCCATCTTAACCCCTGATGCTTGCAAGAGCAGGGCAGGCCAGCAAGGTGGTAGGGGAGAGAATGGAGTAGTATTGTTACAGAAACGAGAGCCTTCCAGAACTGTGGAAGTGTGGCCTATGTTTGTGAGCAAGGGAGCTGGGCTGAGACTCTGTGCTATTCCTGTAGGAGTCCCAGCACAGAATTTGCAGAGCCAGAAGGAAGGAGGCTAGGCAGTTCTTGATATCTTTTGGTGCCTGCCTGAACCAGAGCAGCTCCAGGAGTTAGCAGGCCTCCAGTATAACTCTAGCTGGGATACGTCAGGCTATTAGCTATAATAACTACGGTGCTCTTCACTGTAGCCCATCATTAACAAATCAAAACTAGAATTTACAAGAGGGTCCTCAGCCTTACAGTTGCCTATGACAGTTTCTGCACTAAGGAATTCTCATATGGCTGTGTAGGGGCCATTTAGTGCTAATATATGCAATTCCAGCCCTTTTAAGCTGGTGCCAGGAGCATCCCCAGAGTCTGAACTCTGACATTATAATCTTGGCTTTGACTTGGCTGAGTCACCATACTCTGCCCTGTTTTCTGATCTGTAAAAACAGGATACTGTTTTTCTCAGGGAAGGTGCTGAGGTTTAATTAATTTATCATAACAACATAATTGGCTTTGCGGTGCCATATGAAGATTAAGAGTTGTTACCCTAAATAATCTGCTTGTTTTTTGGGAAAATGGCTTCCTGAGTATAGAGGGGTCTGGACTCTGGGCAAGGTGCTCCTGATAAGTTTGGTTGCTTGTCCCAGTGCCATTCTGCGTTTGATTTTAACATTCTCATCCTTAATTCTGTATGCCGCTGGAACAGCACATAAAAATGACTCACGTCAGTGGGGCTCTAGCATAACAGGGATACTACAGCTCTTAGACTATAGAAAGCTTAGTTAGCTCCTTTCTGTCCCCTCCCCCACCGTGGACCTCATCAGTTGATGGGATGTCATGTCATATAGTTAGCTAGGTGCAGGGTGCCAGAAGTCCCTGCCCTGCTAGGTCGCACAGCTGTA